GTTTAAAAGCACGTCAAAGTGCAAGTAGATAAATAGGTAGTTTCCATGCGCTGCTCTGGTTCACCAGAAGCGGCTTAGTCATGCTGGCCACATGACCCGGAAGCTGTATGCCAGCTCCCTTGGCCAATAAAGCGAGATGAGTGCCGCAACCCCACAGTCGGCCACGACTGGACCTAGTGGTCAGGGGTCCCTTTACCTAAGAGTGGCCATATTAGTTAAGGACAGACACTATGGAAAGAGACTTCCATTTCAATTGAAAACTTTCATTTCAATACCACCTATGTCTGATGGGATATATTTCTGCACTATAGTTAAAAGCCCCACCTTCAACAAAAATGGTCATGTTCTACAGGGCTGTGGGGGCAATGCCATAAACAGGGGATGTTCTCTCAGAGCGGATGTCTGCAAAAAGCAGGCTTTTTATTCCTGCCCCTGTCCTAGGTGCTTGGGAATCGTTGACATCAATTTTATGATGTCATAATGACACCATCTGATTGACAGATGGGTTCTCCCACCCACCTGTCTAAGTTGGCCTGTGGGGGTGGAGCCAAATAAAGATCTGGTCTGTGGAGCTAAAAAGGTCCCCCTTTTCTGCCACACGGTGTACAAAACATGTACAGAGAAAATAAGATATGTGGCAACATTACACCTCATTTTCTATCTTGGTGCTTAACATCCTGATAAGTCTAAGATTCACTTCAATAGAAGAACTGGGAGGTGGTGCTCAGCAAGATGGAGGGGGCATTGAAGCATCATTTAGAAATCACAGTGAAGAACCCCTCCATTGCAGGAGCCCTGTGCACCAATTCCCAGGGCCTAAACCTGGACTGTAGTGGTACCCTCTCAGATGAACATTGATATCTGTTCTATCCCAGCAAACAGCCAAGTTGACGTCTGATCCAACAGATATTCCTGTAGTGTGCCTTGAGTCAGATACTGGCAATATCATGATCCAGAAGCATGATGGCATCACAGTGGCAGTTCACAAAATGGCATCTTAACCTTAAAGGTAAAGGTAAAGGTACCCCTGCCCGTACGGGCTAGTCTTGCCAGACTCTAGGGTTGTGCGCCCATCTCACTCAAGAGGCCGGGGGCCAGCGCTGTCCGGAGACACTTCCGGGTCACGTGGCCAGCGTGACATCGCTGCTCTGGCGAGCCAGAGCCGCACACGGAAACGCCGTTTACCTTCCCGCTTATAAGCGGTCCCTATTTATCTACTTGCACCTGGGGGTGCTTTCGAACTGCTAGGTTGGCAGGCGCTGGGACCGAACGACGGGAGCGCACCCCGCCGCGGGGATTCGAACCGCCGACCTTTCGATCGGCAAGCCCTAGGCGCTGAGGCTTTTACCCACAGCGCCACCCGCGTCCCTATCTTAACCTTATACATCCACAATACTCCTTGCTCTTCAACAGTGCACCTTTGTGGAATGCTCTTCTGCAGATTAATATAGGTTGACTATCCAGTATCAATAGGCAGAATCTAGTTGGGATTGGGCTGTAAACATTCTTCCAAGTTGGTATGGAATATTAATTGTTCTGAACTTGTGCCATTTCATATTATCAGAGTGCACAGTTTTCCTGTTACGTGGCTGGGGAGAGCACCTTCTCAGGTGGTCCCAGTACTAAATAAATCAATAAATAAACCAGAACACACTGCTTGTTCACTACTGTTTGACTTAAAAAGAAGAAGAAGAAGAACTGGAATTAATTTATGCACAACAATGAGAAGAGTCCTGTTATTCTCTGGAAGGCAAAACACCACACAGTTCAAAAATAAAAATGTAAAACTATTTTTTTTATTGAAAATACATCTACAAAGTAATATTTCTCAAGCCACACTGGGTGCACCCAGCTGCCAACCCAGAGTGGGCAGGGAATAGAGATTGTTCTATGGTACCTGATTTCTGTAAGAAACAAAGTTAGTGTAAAAAATATTTTAAAAGCTGTCATGCTTTGTAACACATTTTTCCCCCCTACAGTGATGTCACGGAAGGACAACCTTAAACATGAAATCTTCTTTGCAGTGTATTTCCAAAAAAATAGTATCCAATCAAAAGCAAAAATGTAATTAAAAAGTTACTCCATATAATCTAATATTAACTTTTGTACACACATACTGAATACAGTATTTCTATAAAAAATATCTCTAGTTACATGTCAGAAGATGCCTGTCTGTAATCTAGTTTTCCTTTCTGTTAGCACAAGTAAGAAATATAATAAAAAGGAGCATCCATTACTGCATTCAGTTAGAGATGACCCAAGAGCTTTGCATTGTTTAAAACACCTCCAATTCCTGAATGCACTGGGTTAACTCCTATCCACTTTCTATAAGGAAAGTGCTCAAGGACAAGCTAAGTGAGTAGGATCTGCAACTTGTGGAATAAGGAGCCTGCCTCATCAGTCCAAAGAAAGACCGCCTGTGTCCAGCATTCTGAGACTTTGTCCACTTCACATTTTGTAGTGTGTGTGTCTGCAAGTTTTATTCACAGGTCACATTTTTGAAGCAAAGATCCCCTATACATTCCAGAATGTGGTCAGTGGTTCTGTCAGGGCAGGATTATGGAGAAGTCCATGGTCCCGTTCAGCAGAGTAAGTAGTAGAAGAAGAAGAGTTTGGAGTTGATATCCCGCTTTATCACTACTCCTCTAAGGAGTCTCAAAGTGGCTAACAATCTCCTTTCCCTTCCTCCCCCACAACACTCTGTGAGGTGAGTGAGGCTGAGAGACTTCAGAGAAGTGTGACTAGCCCAAGGTCACCCAGCAGCTGCATGTGGAGGAGTGGGGAATCGAACCCAGTTCACCAGATTACGAGACTACCGCTCTTAACCACTACACCAGGAGGGCTTTCAGATGCAGCTGAGCTGGCTTACCACATTTTGAAGTGAAGCAGTATACATTGAGCAGCATCCAATGCACTTGTTCTGTTAGCGTAAGGATTGACCCTTGTGCAGCAGAACTTTCCCCCTCCTCCAGTTGCTGGGAATTGAAGGTGGGCAGAGTGTTGTCCAACTTGAAGGCTTCCCACAGGTATCTGTTCGGCCCCTGTGAGAACAGCATGCTGAACCAGATGGTCCACTGGCTTGATCCAGTGGGTTTGTCTAATGTTCTCCTCCTGTGCATGCCCTGTGCCATCCCCAAATCTGCTCCAGAGGGTTGGGGAAACCTCCAGGACAGATTTAGCGGGTGCATGGTGGGAGGGGGGGAAGTTCTATTGCACAAGTGTCAATCCTTGTGCTGATGGAACAATTCACTTCATGCTATACTGGATACAACCTGTTATCTTCTAAATAACTACATCCCATAAAATCAGTGATTGCCTAACTGCACCATGGGTGTCAGTGGGCCATTCATCAGATGGGCTTCTTATCAGCTTGGCAAGGCAATTTCGTACAGTGAAAAGAGGATATGAGATGGGTTTGGGCCAAGTGGAAAGAGCTGATAGTAAGGCTCCTCCTCACTTCTGGAAACAGTGGCCCTGTTGGTCTGATGGTCCAGCTTTCTGATGCTACCTTCTGCACTCCCATGGAAGTGCATGCAGGGAGCATGCACTATCTGCCAGCCAGTCATCCTGAACATACTTTTGGTTTCTACAGATGCACAGGTCCAACATGGGACAGGGAGGAAAGGATGGTTTATGGGGCAAAACTACTAGGAATTTTGTGGTGAGGAAGGACCTCTGCCTTCACAACGCTCCTGTGATACTGATGCCATGATTACACATACATTTGAACTCATCTGTTTTGCACACAAACGCACGTGTGCATTACAGTAGAGTGTGTATAACAATGGAGGTCTCCAGGATCCAGCCTCAGCTGCACACCCAGTTTGCATCTAATTCACAAATCTGTATCTATACAGACCACCTTCACTACTGCTTCAAACCCCCCTTCTCCCGTACAAATTAAGGAAGACTGTAGTGTTAGGTTAATTCTGGCCACTTTGTGAAGGGAAGCGAGGTAACAAAACAAAAAAATCAAAGTTTAACTTCATAGCATATTGAGATTTAGCTGGGATGGTCTTGCAATTCTCAGGGTTCTTTGCCTTCAAAATCTGTGACCATATGAATGAACTCTCAGGGACAAAAATTACATTGAAATGGTTGAGTGGCAGCTGTAACACAAGAAATATATTGTACCTACCTCACAGAAATACTATTAATTCCCCAACCCCCATAGACTATGCAACCAGTTTGTGTGTGTATATATATCTACAGTACAGCACACCATCCCTGCTTCACATCCATATACCTTTCCCGTTTGACTGCTATGGCAATGCATGTAAATATATATATATATATAAATCATTCTTTTATTTTTCATAAATGGGCTTCATCGGGGAGTAAAGACTGGAGCAGGAAAAATAATCAATCATAATATATGGATCTCACCTCAGTGTGTAAAATCTGCCCTGCCTCTTACTCCCAGAAGAAGACTTATAATATTGCTCTTTAAAAATCCTCTCTTATATTTTCAATATTTATTCAACGTATTTGCTATCCTGCTGTGTTTTTGCTTTTTTTAATATTCTTCCTACTAAAAGTAATTGAGCACCACATTAGCTTCACTATTCTAAAAGATTACTCCCCCTACATCAGGGGTGTTGCTAGTATGGAGAACTTGGCAGTGGAATGGGGGAAAAAAACCCTCTTCCCTTGTAACCCCAGTGTTGGGAAAAATGCATTTGGCAACAATTTCTTTTCTTTAGCAAGACAACGAAACAGACCAAATTAATTGGGAAATCGCCCTGTTTGAAAGCATTCTCCTGTCCCCTGCAGTTCCGATATGACAGTGGAAATGTTACTGAACCCTGTCAGGTGCTCTGTGCGTTCTGCTTTCTACCTCGTAGTCTATAAGTGCTTCTTTCCATCGGAAAATCTCTGACACAAAGTAGATAGGTAAGGGTGAAGACGGGCAAACATTTTAACTGTGCAGAAGTGGCTCGAACTCACATTGCCTGCCCTGAAAACAAATGGTCCAGAATACAACAAAGATGTGGTTCAAAAACCACTTTAGGTGGCCAGCTTTAATGAGCCCTGTACAGCAGTTAGAAGTGAGATGATAAGCAGGTTGTATCTGTGTCACAGATTTAAACTATCCTAATAAGTAACTCTTTTTGAGTGGGCTAGGGATCTTTAATAGAATTATCAGCACCAGCTAAAGTACACACTTGAGTGGGAATATAAAACTGATATGCCTTTATAAAGTGTCACTTAGGATCCCAACTCCCATCGAAAGTTAAAATGCATGTCAAACTCAACTCACTGTGCAGCTAGAGCTCTAGGACTGGCCTTCACAATTTATGGCCCACGACACAGCCAAATGTAGCTCACTATCGGTCTGATGCGTGATAATCCTCTTGTTTCTGTGATCTGTCGTGTGCAGCAACAGCAGGAAGTTTCTTGAACTATCATTACTGGTGGGCTACATTCAGTTGGGTGGATCACAACTTGGGCAGGCCTGATCTAGTTAAATCAATGGAATGTTCAGAGTTAAGTAAGTGGCTGGATAATTATGTCCGGTGGGAGGGGGACGCCTAGAAGTTGTTTCAAAAAAGCCCACACTGTTGTGGTATCAACAGTTTAATATCCCCCACCCCCTGCAACGAAGGGATGAAGACAGTTTATGTTCCAAAGTGCATGTGTATATTAGATCTCTGATCCTGAAAAGACAGTGCGCATGGGTAACAGTACTTGTGTTAAGTAGTAATGCCATAATCCAAAAGAGGAACAGTAATGTTACACATACACAAATGCATTTTTCTAGGTTCATGATCTAGGAATTAAATGGGACTTGAAGGTGCGCAGTACCAGGAAGCTTTTCCTGATCCTAAAATATCCCATTAGGTAGAAATGAAACTATGATACATCCTTTTTTGCTTAGATGGTAACTAGAGCAAGTTGTGGGACATATTGTCCATGCATTTAAAACAAAAATCAGTATCCCTATTTTTAGTGCTCCAATAGCAATAAAATAAGGAAATAATATATTTAAAAAGAGAAACCAAAATTTGCTACTCACTTTTCAGGAGAATAGCATCAAGTGTAAAAAGTAAATTTACAATGCAATCCTATATGTGTCTACTCAGGAGTAAGGTCCATTAAATTCAGCAGGACTTACTCCCAGGTAAATGTGTATAGGATTACAGCCTTCCTGGTGTGAAGAATGTGTAACAGTCAAACAAACAACCCCCCTTTCCAAGATTTCTTGTCTGCTTTGCTGCTTCAGTTTACATAAAGTGAGATCACATTTACAGGACTATGCAACATGTGCACTTGAATATTCTTGGTAATTTGATTACACAATATATCCCATCCCCATAGCACATCACATCATATCATGTCATAATGTTGTATGCTTGGTATTTCATCTTAGTATTGTTTTAATGGGATACAATCATATAACACATTCATTACTAAGTAATAGGGTATATTTTTCAGCAAGGACTTAACTAGACATTACAGAAGATGTAGCGCTGGAGCCACTCAATCTTCTTTCCCCTCTCCTTCCACATGCCACCTGAAACCTTTATCCAGGTAAACATACCACGTGGAATGATGTCATTGTGCTGTGCATTGCCCTCTTCCGGCCACACAGGACTGGATGCAGGCGATGCACACAGTGATGACATCACAATACGTGTTGTGCTTACCTAGATGCAAGCACAAGGAGAAGGGGGCGAAGAGACCTTGCATGTAGCCACCATGGGTTTTATCCAGTAACATCACTGAACTGACAGTGAAGCTTCCATCAGCGAAATGAGGAGGGAAGCACTTCCCTAAGCTGCACTGGAGGGTTCCACAACTCTCAGGAGCAGATATAGGGTGTGAGAGGGGCTCTAGGCCTATGAGGAAATGGCTGAAAATAGCTTCCCTTCCTGCTGATGGAAGCCTTAATAACAGCTGAGTGACACCACTGGATATAACCTCACGTCTCTCATCATGTCTAGTTAAGCCCTAAACCTTTTCAGTGCTCTGCTTGTATATATAGAGAGAGATGAGGAACAAACGGACAAGTTACAGAAAGGATTGGAGGAAGTGTACGCTTTCTGCGTCTCTAGTGCTTTGTATCGGTCCTCTACCTTACATCTTGGTTTCACTGTCTAAGGGCTTTTCATTCTCGTTCTCTTGGGAGATCAGCTGGTAAGGCTTCTTCATTTCATTCTCCTCTATCACAGAGTTACCCATCTCAGCATCCTTGCTCCTCAACTCATGCCGCGATAAGTGTTCTACAATCCCTGCGCCGATAGAGTCTCCCAAAACGTTGGTGGTGGTACGCAGACGATCCCTATAGAACAATTTGCAGATTTAAACAAGCTAGGCAGTCCCAGCCCTCCAAAGCCCCACTAGATTACACAGTACATTATTACACTGAATCACTGAAATTAGGAAAGGAAGACGTAATCTGCAGTGTATTTGAAATTGCAATTTTACACTCAAGTAACAAAACAAAACAAAGCATGCAATTGTATATAAATAAATTTATTTGTAACACTTCCATCTAATCCTTTCCTCTAAGGCGGAGGTGCTTAACCTGTGGCCCATGAAGTGGTGGGAAGGGGCTATCCTTTTCCCCCAGCACAACAACCCTATGAAGTAGGACTGATGAAATAAAGTATGTTTCTGGCACAACGTCATCTAGAAAGCTTCGTGAATGAGCAGAGATTTGAGAAACACAATACTTTCAGGGCGTGGGGAACATGGCTTGCTTTGCAGTTAAAATGGTAATTTTTTATATCCTATGCAATACAACTGAATATTGGCAAAACATTCATGGGGAAATGAACTAAAATGACTTGCAAGTTCAGTTTTTATGAATGCCCACTAGCCTGCTTCATTTTATAATACACATTACATTGCAGAAATACTCACAAAAACCAATCCACTGCAATGATAAGGGTGATATCGTCTGTAGGCAAACCAACAGATGTCAATACGATCACCATAGTGACGAGGCCAGCCTGAGGAATTCCTGCTGCACCAATGCTGGCTGCTGTAGCCGTAATGCTGTTCAGAGAAAGGAGACACCAAAACAATCACACAGAGCTTTTAATTTTTAAACACACACATAGGTTGTGTTTTTGTTCTATCTATCATCTATCTAGCATTTTACAAAAATGTTTTCCCCGCCTTCCTTTATGTCTTATGAGAAACAATTGCACATAGTCTAGACCAGCCTTTCCTAACCTGGTGCTGTCCAGTTGTTTTGGACTAAAACTCCCATCTAGAAGAAGAAGAGTTTGGATTTGATATCCTGCTTTATCACTACCCGAAGGAGTCTCAAAGCGGCTAACATTCTCCTTTCCCTTCCTCCCCAACAACAAACACTCTGTGAGGTGAGTGGGGCTGAGAGACTTCAGAGAAGTGTGACTAGCCCAAGGTCACCCAGCAGCTGCATGTGGAGGAGCGGAGACGCGAACCCAGTTCCCCAGATTACGAGTCTACTGCTCTTAACCACTACACCACACTGCTCTCATTAATTTCTAAAGCTAATAATTAGAAGCTATTTAAAAATAAATAAACTATAACCTGCCTTGCAAGCTGTTTTTGACCAAAAGGCAACTCATTAATATTTTTTATAAATAAGTAAAATAAATTCCAGAAGGTGATCAGCCTAGCAGCTGCATGTGGAGGAGCGGGGAAGCGAACCCGGTTCACCAGATTACGAGACTACCGCTCTTAACCACTACACCACACTGGCTCTCTAGCCAGCACAGCCAGCTGGAAGGCACCAAGTTCAAAAAGCCTGAGCCAGATCAGTCATCAGGGACACTTCCCTGCTCCATGATGTGGTGCCATCCAGTTGTTGCACTGAGCAGAAGGCTGGCAAAGCACTTTCCTGCAGCCTTGAACTCAGCTGATGGGTGGTTAATTCAAGCCTGCTTTGTGCAGGGATTAGTAGCACAAAATGGTTTACATTGAAACTGCTAATAAAACGGAGGGGGAAAACTTGGTTGATGACTGATTGGGCTACACCTAGCTCCTGCAAAGGAACAGCCAGGAGCTCACTTCAAGCTCCCAAATGTTCCTTTGTAGCCACATGCAGAGCTACCCCACACCTGATGTAATACTGCATATGACATAGCGTGTTCTCCCTCATGGAGAGCACGTGTTGCGGTGGGGGCTGACAAGACACCTCACGTTGCTGGGCAAAAGAGTTTGGCCATCTTTAAGCAGGGGCGGGCTGTTACTGGAGAGATTTATATGTTACCACTTCTTGATTGACAGCCCCGTTTGTTAAATACACTGCACACAGTGACGAGCTTCCTCTTTCGCTGCGTGCTTCGGATCACCCTCCCTCCCTTCCCTAATTTTAGGCTGTTTGCTTGACCTTGCTATGCCTGTCATGGGGTCGTCTGCTTTGGGGCAGGGGCCTGGTAGGAATTTTGTCCATTTGGCTGATTGGTTGGTGCCATTTGGTTTTTGCCTACTGTGTAGCAAATCGTCACAACTTGTAAGGTTGCGGTTAGGCAATGGTTTGGGAATTGGTTGATGGAGGGGTATGGATTTGGCTGTGCCTGCCCCTCCAAAATGCTGCTGCTGCATGGGTTTTCCGTTAAAGAAACCTAGGGGCTCGCCATGCTTTTGTCCGAACCCCCTGGCAAGCGGCTAGGGCCACGCAAGAGCCCCTGGGAGCATTCTGGGGAGAGGTGAGGGCATGGTACCCAGTCCCGTCTCTCTCCCTAGGTAACTTACCCTTTCTGACTTTGCGGGGGGTGCAAATATCAGAGCTGTCAGTTAGTTGCTACCAATGCCTAAGCTAAGCAACCACTCACATTGCTGTATTTTTATAAAGTTGGGGCCAAAATTATGCCAAAAACCTTAAACAAAAATCAAGTGTCATTGTGTTCTTATTTGGGGTGTCTTGGGGACCTTGACGCGCAACCGATGGGTGTGGTTTGTTAGGAATGGCCAGATTTGTCCCACAGACTGGAGGTTCTCTACCACCCCTGCTGTAGCTGGTTAAGACTGTGCAGTAATCCTATGTACACTTATCTGGCAGCAAGTCTCACTGAACTCACTGGGGCTTACTTCTGAGCAAACATGCATACACTTGTGGTGCAAAGTGCAGATTAAACCGATATGTGTATTATAATGCTTTAAACGTATGTGCTATAATATGTTTTTGAGACGTGTGCTTGCTTTTGCTTATAACCTGTATTTGGTTGACCAATAAAATCTGATGATAACAACAATATTCAAGGAATGATCATTTACTCTTTACCCCTGATTATACTTATGGAAAAGTACTAAAGTTACAGGAATTACTGAAGATTTTCTCAAATGAATACAGAACAAGCTCAAGGAAGTATGCTGAACTGAGTTGATAAAAAGGCATCTATTTCAGTGGGAGAGAACTATAGCCGAATCCTATGCATGCCTCCTCAGAAGTGAGTTCAATGGGACTTGCTCCCAGGTAAATGTGCATAAAATTTCAGCCTGAATCATTAAGTTATTCAAGGACACCCATTTTATTCAACATTATGGCAATCCTTTTCTTTCTTCTTCCTTGTACAGTCTAGCTTGCTAGGGCTATATTGTGATACCCATCCCCCTGGAAGTGAGCTACTTCACTATGTTAAGTGATGATTTAAGTCCTATTGCTTTCAGTGGATTTACAAAACCTGGAGCTAACTCATAATGACAATGTTTTCAATCATGGGCATAATGAGGTACACATAGAGGGCAGCTAAAACACTGTATACTGTGGCTCCTATCACATGTCTTCCCCACTACCATATGATGCAAAAAGCAGCCCATGCAAACGTCTAAGGTTCTGCAACATTTACAAACCTGATTGTGATAATCTGTCCAAAGTTGAGGTCCATGTTATTAACCTGTGCAATGAAAATTGCAGCCAGTGCCTCATACAAAGCTGTACCATCCATGTTAATAGTTGCACCCACAGGAAGCACAAATCTTGTAATGCGTTTATCTACTCCATTATTCTCTTCCAAACACCTAAATGTGATCGGCAAGGTGGCAGAACTAAAGCCAAAAGGGGGGAAATGGAGAAAAATTAACTCATCGGAAAAGGCAGGCAATATTGATATGGATGATGGCTATACACATTATTACTGACATTATGGAGTCATCCAGAACAAGTACGGCAGATAGAGATTTCCTGTCTCCTCAAATTACCTAAAAATTATTATTATTTAAATGAAATTAATTCACATGTTCAACTGTGTGCCAGTGCCCCAATCTAGCTAAGAGCATCTCCACATATATTGGGTGCCTGTGTGTTACTGGTAGAGCCCATACCTCAGTGGTGGATCTCATGAGTTGCCTGCAGATGTGTCCTGGTTCACACCCTGTCATTTCAGTTGAAAGCCTTAGATCTGGAAAGCTAGTGCCAAAGTAGATAGCGCTGGATATAAAGTAGCCCCAGATGCACACTTACTGGATCAGGAACCATGGGCTGTATCCAATGCTAGTCCATCTCAGAGTAGACCCATGAGTGTAAATTGGATGTCCATTGGTATGTGCACCCAAATGTGAAATCTCTGGCCCTCCAGATGTTGCTGGGCTTCAGCTTCCATTAGCCCAGGCCAGCATAGTCAATGGTCAGGTTTGATGGGAGCTACAGTCCAACAACACCTGGAAGGCATCAGGTTCTCCACTCCTGGCCTAAACTCAATGCACTGCTGTAAACATTATGTGAATTGAAATGCAGTTCCCTCTCCATACACTGGTACAGCTTGTCATGTTTAATTCCCTTTGTAAAACATGACTAGAGTTGGATTGAGGCAAAAGTGGAGTTATTAAAATGGTGTACGTGCATATGCAAACTCAGTGAACTCACCCCGTTCACTCAAAATCAAACTTGATCTGGCTATGAATATTCCTACCTTGAAGATGTTCCCAGGGCTGTGATGAGAGCTTGCAGCAATCCTCCAATGAAGACCCAAGGGTTCTTTCGAGTGATGAGGAAGTAGAGTAAAGGCAGCACTACAATAGCATGGATGAGCAAGCCAATGATGACCGTAACAGTATACATGGCAAGCTGCCCTCCAATCACACCCATATCTTCCATCTCAACAATTTTTCCAGCAATCAAAAACAGGATACCAAGTGGTGCATACCTACAAACAAATCACACAGTTAATATAATATACGGCTATCCAACGAGAAGCGTAGGTGTGTATATTTTGGTGGTGCTATTTGCATGCGCTCAGAAATTTCCTGACACATTCCAAGGGGGCTAAGGCTGAAATCCTAAACACATTTGCATGAGAGTAAGCCTCACCAAATACAGAGGAACTTACTTCCAAGCAAACATGCATGAGATTGTTCTGTTATTTAGCCGCACTGGAAATTAATGGCAAATAAATGGAGAATGTTAGGCAGGGAAGGGGTTTTTCCTCTTGTATTCTGTAAAATGCCATGCACACGGATGGTGCTAGATATATCAACAAATGTAGCATTCAACACCTACCACATGATTAGTGATACGAGGCGCATGATAGCCTCATTAAGGCTATCAAAGAATTCTCTCAATGCTCGTCCTTGCTCCTTCATGTTCCCTATCACCAGTCCAAAGCTGATTGAGAACACAACCAGTCCAAGTGCATTTACTCCATTTACAGCCCCTGGAACAGGGATCATCTCCTTTTTCAACTGAGTTAGGTTTTCCATTGCTTCGGACACATTGTTTATAATGCCAGCAAGGACAGATGTTTCGTTTGAGTCAACTGCTATACTAGGTGTCCGTTCCTCATAGTTTGTTTTGAACTGTGAGAGATGGGGAAAAGGAGAGACGTTATATCCGTGTCTTTTCTAGGCATTACAAAAACATAATGGCTAAGACTACTCAGTTGCATCAGAAGATTTACTTGAAGCTCCCGGATGAAGATAGGTGTAATTAAAACCATACATTGTTACCTGTTTAAAGCAGGCTTCCACCAGATTCGGAGGGAACATGTTTCTGTGAAGAAAGAACAACAACTATTTGAGGAATAGTACACATCAGGAGTGCCTGGCGTGCTCTGGTCCATGGGGTCACGAAGAGTCGGACACGACTAAACGACTAAACAACAAAACACATCTTTTATCATTTCAAGATGAAGCCCTATTGAAGCTGGTGGGATTTACATCAAAGGTAATATGTATAGGGTTGGGCTCCATGGTCATCTATTTGGCCTGACCCAATAGGATTCTTCTTATGCTCATAAGAAGCTTACCATACTAGGTCAGATTGTTTGTCCACCTAGTGATGATCTATAGTGACTTGCAGTGGTTCTTTGGGCAGAGGTGTTTCCCATCATTTGCTACTTGATCCTCTTAATGGAAGATGTCAGGGACTGAATATGAGACATGTATTCTACCACAGGCATATGGTCTCAGCAGTATATTGAACTAGCATCAACTTACTCTCTCTTTTTTCTTTTCTTTTTTAAAAAGACTGCTAGTAAAGGTAAAGGTACCCCTGCCCGTACGGGCCAGTCTTGCCAGACTCTGGGGTTGTGCGCCCATCTCACTCAAGAGGCCGGGGGCCAGCGCTGTCCAGAGACACTTCCGGGTCACGTGGCCAGCGTGACATCGCTGCTCTGGTGAGCCAGAGCCGCACACGGAAACGCCGTTTACCTTCCCGCTAGTAAGCGGTCCCTATTTATCTACTTGCACCCGGGGGTGCTTTCGAACTGCTAGGTTGGCAGGCACTGGGACCGAACAATGGGAGCGCACCCCGCCGCGGGGATTCGAACCGCTGACCTTTCGATCGGCAAGCCCTAGGCGCTGAGGCTTTTACCCACAGCGCCACCCGCGTCCCCTAAAAAGACTGCTACTTCTTTGCAATTCACCAAATTAATCTCAGCGAATTTTCTCCTCAACCTTTTGAGCAGGAGCATGCTGCAAATCTACCCTGCCTCATGTTTACCTTGGTTAGACAGTAGAAATAATAAATACATGTCTTCAGTGATTCAGAATATAAACAACACTTTTGCAGTTAGAAAGTAAAGCTGCTGAAAGAGGAGGGTATAGAAAGGAGCCCTCCAAAACTTAGAGCCACAGCATTGTTTGAAATCACAGTTCCAACAGGTTCACAGTCAACCCACAGAAGAAATTCTCAAATTCCTCACATACTTTTAGAAGGCACAGCTGTGGGGAGAATTGGGGCAGGTCTGCCTAAGGCATTTTCCTAACACAAAGGATAAGATGGTGTCCCCCAAATCCACATATCACAATCCGCAACATTTTTGTACACTGGCCTCAATGATTTACAGAATGAAATGTCCACAACAGGAAGTTAGAACAAAGTCCTACTGTAATCTTTCCAGTTTAAAAATTCTATGTAAAGTTTTATTTGAGTCAGTATTATAAAATTCTAAACTTAAAAAAAGCCACAGACATCCTGTTATTATGTCAAGGAGTCCTACGCTTAACTACATTCTTCTTTTACTTTTCCATTCTACATACAGAATCAGACTGGAGCCCTGGAACATAAAGGTAAAGGTAAAGGGACCCCTGACCATTAGGTCCAGTCGTGACCGACTCTGGGGTTGTGGCGCTCATCTCGCTTTATTGGCCAAGGAAGCCGGCGTACAGCTTCCACGTCATGTGGCCAGCATGACTAAGCCGCTTTTGGCGAACCAGAGCAGCGCACGGAAACGCCGTTTACCTTCATGCCGGAGCGGTACCTATTTATCTACTTGCACTTTGACGTGCTTTTGAACTGCTAGGTTGGCAGGAGCAGGGACCGAGCAATGGGAGCGCACCCCGTCGCGGGGATTCGAACCGCCAACCTTCTGATCAGCAAATCCTAGGCTCTGTGGTTTAACCCACAGCGCCACCCGCGTCCTCCCTGGAACATAGGAAGCTGCTATTTAAACAAGTCAGGCCATCTAGCATCAACATGCAGCACCTTTCCATGGTTCCAGATGGGACCTTCCCAGCTTTGCTTGGAAATGCCAGGGATTGAGCCTGGTACTGTCTGCATGGAAAGCCATTGGTCTACTATTGAGATCAAAGGTGGCTGGCCCCTGAATCTTACTTCAATACTGGTGATGGGACAATATCCTCCACCACACTGAGCACAGCAGAAGAGTTTCAATAGTGCAGAGTAGACCAGCTTAGGGAACTCAGGGGAAATGGTGGGTGAATATCACCTCCTCAGTTATGTTTCCTGAGGCAGCCATATTACTCTGCCTAATAGTAGGGCTGGCCCTGAATGGGGGAATTATGAATTGCTTCAAATCTCATTAGTAAACCCCACAGTACATTGTTAAGAAGCTTAAAAAGCCTGATCAATAAGTCTTGGGGGGTCTATGTTTACAAGTTATTTCTGAGCCGGGGGTGCCATTTTGAAGGGAAAAGAGAGAGAAAAGAGATTGACAGCACTGGGTGTTAATAAATTCAGTCATATGCTGTAACTTTCATTACCTTGCTTATAAGACAGAAAATGCATTTTTACCTGATCAAGTCCAGAAAGGCGTCTGCAGCTGTCACTCGGACAATCTTGCCTTCTCGATGCATTTTTTCCTTCGACCCTTTCCCTGGATGGATGATGACCACCATGATAATTCCAATTAGGACAGCAATGATCGTGGTGCTCATGTAGTAGACGACGGCTCGGAGCCCCATCTTCCCTGATGCTTTGCTGTCCAGGGCAGCAACTCCTAACAAATAGAAACACGAGAGTGAAACTAGAGTCTGTACATCACAAAAAACTGTGAATACACATACAGTGGTACCTCGAGTTACATAGGCTTCATGTAACAGACTCCGCTAACCCAGAAATAGTGCTTCAGGTTAAGAACTTTGCTTCAGGATGAGAATAGAAATTGTGCTTCGGCGGTGTGGCAGCAGCAGGAGGCCCCATTAGCTAAAGTGGTGCTTCAGGTTAAGAACAGTTTCAGGTTAAGACTGGACCTCCAGAACGAATTAAGTACTTAACCTGAGGTACCACTGTACTAGAATAAGCATTCTTCTAATACTAGAACCCTGATGATTGGCGTGGCTTTCAGAAAAAGAAGTACCGTATTTTTCGCTCTATAACACGCACCAGACCATAACACGCACATAGTTTTTAAAGGAGGAAAACAAGAAAAAAAAATATTCTAAACGAAACAGTGGATGTATGATTTTTGTAGTTCATGCTGTGGCCACAGACATGTGATTGACAGTGAGTCTGGAGTAGCCCAATGCAAAAATCCTGAGGATCCATGTGGATCCATGCTTTCTAACCATGTTTTTGCACCACTGTGATCCCAGGCAACAGTGGGTGCCTGATTTTTTTGGTGCAAGATGTAGCCATGGACATGCTATGTGATCTGATGGTGAATTTGGGGTGACCCAGTGTAAAAATCCTGAGGATCCATGTGGATCCGTGCTTTGTAACCACGTTTTAAGTGGGGAGGGAAGGAAAAGCACTCAAGGGACAAGGAGCACGCATAGGGTGTGTGGAGAAGGATGCTGCTAATAATGCTATTTAGCGAGCTGAGTGGGGAGGAGAGAGGGACAGAGAGCCTGCTTGCTTTAAAGGAGCCAACCGGACAGGAGTGTAAGCGGCTCCTCTCCTCTCCCGCTTTGCTCCTTTAAAGCAAGCAGGCTCTCTGTCCCTCTCTCCTCCCCATTCAGCGGCTCTTCTCCCGCTTTGCTGTTTCAAAGCGAGCCACGGAGGAGGGAAGGAAGGGGAACCATGGATCCTCTGCTCACAACTGCAGCAGATCCCCACCACCACCCGTAGGCATTCGCTCCATAACACGCACAGACATTTCCCCTTACTTTCTAGGAGGGAAAAAGTGAGTGTTATGGTGCAAAAAATACGGTATTTCTTCTCAGAGAGTGTGTTGTTAAATTATGGAATTTGTCCCACAAGTTACAGCCACCAGCTCTGATGGCTTTAAAAGAGGATGAGACAAATGGAAGAATAAAGCTATCAGCGACTACTAGAAGCGATGGCTATATTATCAACAGTATCAAAGATAGAATGCTTCTGAATATGAAAGCAGATGCTCTCTTACAGAGCTACAGTCCAAAGAGGGAAGGATCATAGTTCAGTGATAGAGCAACAGCTATCCATGCAGAGGGCCTCCCCACCCACTGATTCAATCCCCAGCAACTTCAGGTATCATAGAATTGTGGATTTGGAAGGGACCACATGGATCATCTAGTCCAACCCACTGCAATGCAGGGGCTCAAACCCACAACCCAGAGATTAAGAGTCTTGTGCTCTACCGACTGAGCTATCCCACTTCAGTGTTGATGATGTTGATGTAGATGGCCTAATGGTCCGGCTTGATATAAAGTGACTTCCTTCCTTTGCTCTTACGTTACCTTTCTCCCTTGAAATTTGAGACATGGTGTGCTTTATAACAGCACAACTGCAGGAGAGATAAAAGCTTCCCCTCTCTCCCTTGATACACATGAACTACCCTTGGAATGGGAGAGATGGTATGCCTGTTTTCGGAATGCGTTGCAAATGCTATATAATACAATTATTTTGTGCTCGAACTTCTTACGTTGTAATTTCTTATTTACAAAAGAAGCTGGTCACGTTCCCCAAAATTGTACAAATTGTTATAATGCACAAATTTTAATTTAAAAATTGTGCAAAGAAACGCATGAATATATATTAAAAATATATAGTAAAAACATCACATTATATACATTACCCAAACATATTGAGATGGTATAATCTTTTACTATTTCCATATACTTTCTAATATATGTATTGATTATTTAATTTCTATAGTGCTTAATATATTAAAAAATATCTCCAAGCAGTGTGCAGAAAGCTGAAACAACAGGCAACTTAAACAGATATTACAAAACACACAGCTACATATAAAAATGTTACATTAATATAAAGTTTGTAATATATAAAAATATCAATTCATTTCCCTTCTGACACCCCTTCCTCTCTGCCTCCAGGTTCTCACCCAGGGTCCAAAGAAACTCTCAGCTCACCCACAAAAGTCTCACAATGAAAAGAGTTCCTGGAAACAGCTGACATCACCCTAGTCTCTCACTCTGGACTTGCTTTTTATGCCCAAGGAGAATGGTACCTCCTTAGGCTGCCCACAGCTGCACTCTCCACACCCAGTTCCAGGTGCAGCAGGTTTGATGAGTTTCCCAAGGGGTCCAAAGAATGGGAAAAATGCTCCCTTCCACTCACAGCTCTTTCTTCACCCTCTGTCCTCTCCTCCTCTGGCATCATAGCCCTCCTTCAAGCATCTTAACTTGTGGGAGTGCATCCTTCCATCAGTGCTCCTGCAGATACTTGATTACAGGTGCAGAGGAAATTCCACATTTAAATAGAGATGAAAGAGACACAGGACAAGAGTTCTGTCTGAACTAATCAGCCCCTTGAGTTATAAGTGGGGTCTTCTGCTCCCTGATTCCTGCTTATTGCTGTAGGCAATGCACCATGTGGTAGTTAAGTGAGAAGCAGAGTAGTGTTAAGAACTGCCACTTTTCAGGAAGTGGGTACAGCTTGGGAGAGGTAATCAGCTCCAGGAGCAGTAAAGGCTTTGCTGATTTTTTGGGAAGTATATGAGATCCTGTGACTCTGACCTGATCTGCTAGACCAGCCTTGTCCAAGCTGGTGCCCTCCAGATGTTTTGGATGCCACCTCCTTTCACCTCCCACTAGAAGGGACAATGGTCAGGGATGATGGGAACTGCAGTCCACAACATCTAGAGGACTCCAGCTTGGGGAAAGGCTGTGCTAGACTATCCCTCCTTGTGGACTTCTGCTCATGATCAGAGCAGGATGTGAAAAACACAGCTAGTACAAGTCTGAAGGAACAGCTAGCTAATCATAGCATAGACCCTGTCAACCAGGAGGTCTGTTGTCATTTCAGACAAAGGACAACAGTCCTCTGATAGCATTAAAAAACTCAAAACAAAAGCATTTTAAGATACACAGAGAGCCTCTGTAGATATAAAAAGGTCCATGCTTTAGACAACTACATCCCAGCAGTTGGAAGGTGACGAAGAGGATGAGAGATGGGATGCAGCTAGTGTGCTCATCTCTACTTGCCTCCATCACATGTTCACTGTCCCCTATTCATAGCACCTGAATTGCTTTACTGTTTTTAGTGTATGCCACATGTTTTTAATGTAAGTCCCTTGTTTCCCTGGGGTGCTCCTAATTACTCTAGATTTTTTTATAGGGTTGTTTGAAACTCTTTAGAAGACTGGTAGATCATTGTATGTTTCCAATTTCCTCAGTAAACATTCCTGAAAGGTGTAAGGTAAAGGTAAAGGGACCCCTGACCGTTAGGTCCAGTCATGGATGACTCTGGGGTTGCAGCGCTCATCTCGCTTTATTTACAGCTTCCAGGTCATGTGGCCAGCATGACTAAGCCACTTCTGGCGAACCAGAGCAGCGCACGGAAACGCCATTTACCTTCCCGCTGGAGCGGTACCTATTTATCTACTTGCACTTTGACGTGCTTTCAAACTGCTAGGTTGGCAGGAGCAGGGACCGAGCAATGGGAGCTCACCCAGTCGTGGGGATCCGTCTTTGGAGGTCTTTAAGCAGAGGCTTGACAACCATATGTCAGGAGTGCTCTGATGGTGTTTCCTGCTTGGCAGGGGGTTGGACTCGATGGCCCTTGTGGTCTCTTCCAACTCTATGATTCTATGATTCTATGAACCGCTGACCTTCTGATCGGCAAGTCCTAGGCTCTGTGGTTTAACGCACAGCGCCACCCGAGTCCCGAAAGGTGTATAAGAACATTAAAAGTGCCTTGGCAGGGTCAAAATCTCAGCAACTATCAAGTGAAAAGAAATTAGCTGGCGGCCCACCAGTGGACTGTGGTGGTCCACCTGTAATATTCTTCACTGAGCTCTCCTGATGAACCTATGGATATTGTATCGCTGGCATATTATACCTACAGCGTCCAACAGAATTTTAAAAACCAACACTTTTAGCTGCTGGCTGAAAATGCCAGGTTGACATGCTGAAGTGTTCCCTATACTTATGGGATCCAGGTGTAGAGGAAATTATCAAATGGTGAGCATACAGTTTAACATTTGATCTGCAAACTGTATTTCCGAATTATCTGGAGGATTAATGACAAAGCAGCTACTAATTTGCTAACAGAAACCCAATTCTGGAATGCCCTCCCTTAAAAGGCTCACTAGGTGCCTAAGTTGCTATATTTTGGTGCCAGGAAAAAAAGTTATTTAGCCAGGTATTTTAATTGCTTTCATCGTTAAACCCTGTTTAATATAAACAAAGCAAAACAAACCTGGCATTAGTCATGTACGCTATGTAATACAAAGAGACCTCTAATGAAGATGATGGAGAGATATTTTCATTTGGACCACGGTTCATGAATCTTTCACCGGGGTCAAGGCCTCTTGCCCTCAGACAGGTTCCCCAATGCCATGTTTTGTGGAGAGACTGTGATTACTTCGAGATAATTTTGTACATGCTCAGATTCACTCTTGTCTTTTTATCATCACTTTCCGTAACTCCGCCCTTGGCACGGAAGCCAGGTTCTATAGCTGAAGAGCATAGGCAGGCTCCAAATAAACTCCAGACATGCTGTGCTTTGAGCTGCAACTGATTTATCCTCTGAAACTTGTCAAGTGCAAAGCAACAAGGAACTTTTTTGGATGCCCAGCCCAGCAGTACATTTCCTGTTCCTCACATCTGCCAGGGC